ACCCCACCTCCACCACAGGTGAAAGCAACCGAGACTTCACTAACCCCCCCCCCCCCCCCCCCCCCTCTCTCTCTCTCTCTCTCTCTCTCACTCCTCAACACCCCAAAAGAAGGAGTAGAAGAAGGAGCAGAGAGAACTCCAAGAATGGGAAACAAGATACATACCAGGTTCGAGATCTTTGTCCTCGTCCTTGTGAGCCATCCATTTTTGTTTTTGCGTCTTAGTCCATCATTTGCCAGGGTGTTGTTTCGTAAATGAATTCCTTTGACAATCCGACGAACCCCTATCATCAGAAACATCATTGCAACTTCCGATAAACAACGAACCAAATCTGTTCCCGGACATCAGATTTTTGTAGCACTCGTCGTGACGGAAACTCTTAGTTGGCAACCCATCACCATGAAAAACATCACTCACCTTTACCCATTTATCTTTCTCCACCCTAGACCATAGATAGCCACCGACAAACGGAGCTCTGATATGCGAAGAAGATGAAGCTATGGATTGGGCATGCTGAAATAAGCTAGATTCCTTATCAACCAGTGGGATGGACTACTTCCCCTTAATAGAAACAAGCCCCTTATTCGGGCCCCAAACCACCACCCTATCCCCTTTTGACATACCCAACCTGGATGTGGGCTTAGAATGAGGTAGCCCAATCGACGATCTTAACCCAATTGAGTTGGGCTTGGCCTGGTGCGAACCTGCTAAGGAGGATGGCCCAACAGACTTGGACTTGGATTTATCATTTAGTCCATGACACCCGTAATGTGGCCCAAATCCAGGCCCATCCTTATCAGAATTCAAATGACCCACACGCTCAGATGCAAAAGCACGTGCACCAACAGTTGTCTTGCACAGACAACGGGAGGCGCATAAAGACCAACCACATGTATCACACCTAACTCTGCTCACCCCTCTCCCCTTTGGCGCATGTATCCCCCTACATCCCTGTCCTTGGGTTAGACCACCAAGACAATCACCAATCTGTTCCTTCGGCGAAGCACCAAGACCACCTTCAGGCCATCCAAACACTCAAGTCTTCCTATCCGAAGTCACTTGGGGTCTCCTCTTATCACTCCCACCATAAGAATTAGAAATCGGTACAAGAGAAAGGCAAATCTCTTCAGTCAACGAAATTCTGAAAGCCCACCACCTGTCTTCCACGGTGATAAACTCTGGGATCTCACCTCCTTCGCGCACAGTAAAGATGATTCTCTCCGTATCACTCAATTCATAAGCCTCAACATCCCAAAACCCTCCACAAAGATCACCAAAGGCAACAAACAGCTTCAGCTTCTGACACCAACAATGTAGAGGAAAACCATACAGAATAACTCGTCAGTGCAAGGTCTTCTTTCTCAACCCAAAGCACCCGGCCTGGAAAGTGAAAACACCACAAATCAATAAACAACCGTGCTTTGCCCCAGACTTTCTGACCCCTCTTCAAAACCTTCTAAGCTTCCAAAACCGATGGGAATCTAAACAAAAGCAACCCATCTGCCAGAGCAGAAACCCTAACCCCACACGAGATTTTCCATGTCTTTGAAGCCCACTACTCAATTTCATACATAGATTTGACTTTTGTGTCAAATCGCCCAACAAGACAAGACTTGAGCATGGATTCAAAACTGTTAGTGTAGTGGCTATCCACCCTAAGAACAGGCCCTCTCTTTGTAAAATCACATTCCACATCCACTTTTAGATCCAAACGAGGAAGCCTTGCGACCTCAAGAAACGACAATCCTTGACTATCCAGAGAATCCATAAGCAAACACAAGCGAAAAAGGAAGAAAAATCAACGGTAACAGAGGATTTCACCGGAATGTAAGAATTTCGGTGACCAGAAGGAGCAGTAGGCTCAGACCGCATCTCTACTAAGAAGCATTGTGCCTGTGGTCGCCCATCTACATATCACCTTCAAGTACACTGGAGATAGAGATTTTTGGCAAGTTTTCTTCCTATATCAATAGTGCACAATTTAGTCAAAGAACTTACCAAGCCATATTCTTTCATCTTTGTGATGTGTTTGAACAGTCAAGAAGAGAGTTTCAAATATTTATGTGAGAGAAAACATTCCCAAAATAGTTTCAAGGAGACTAAATTAGAGGGAGAATGGTTCAAATCTATGAAAGTGGAGACATAAGTGGTTCAGGGAAGGGCTTCATATGCAAGTGAATGCAACCAGCGGCAATGTGCAAGATAAAGGTGACGGTAGGGAGTCTTAAGTAAATCTGTCATCATACTTTCCCTTTTTCCTTCTCCAATTTGTGCATTGATGCTCTTTTTGGTATGGAAAAATGGAAAGAACCAAAGGTAGAAGTATGAAATAAGTACCCCTAGCGAAAGCTGAGGAAAAAAAAATATATATAACTTTTTATATTTTTATTTTCTATTGTATGTGTTAGGGAGATAAAGAGACGGTTGATCACCTTTTGATTTTGTCTATGTTCGGGGTTCACTGAGTTATGCCTCGGACTCCATTAGGTTTGATTGAGGCTTGGCGAGGTTGTATAGTGGGTTCTCAAGCCCATGCCTTTTGGCGGGTGGCACCCGTGTGTCTTTCGTGGGGCTTATGGAGAGAAAGCAATAGGAAATCCTTTGACGGTTAGGAGACTCCTATTGGGGTGCTGAAATCTTCTATCCTTAGTTCTCATTTCTTTTGGGTGGTTGGGAGAAATTGTATATCCTTGGAGGAGATAGTTGATTTTTTGAACATATTAAGCGATTAGGGGCCCTATTAGGCTCTTCGTTTGTTGGACTCTTCAAAAGTACGTGAAATCCCGTCTGGGACGCATGACAAAAGGACAAGGGTATGGAATATGCATCTCACGCATTTGGTTGGATATGCGCCTAAAAAGTATATTCAATAATTCAATTCTATTATATTGTTACTTCAAAACAACTCAAATGCATACTCAGAGCATTTATGTTATAAATAAATAAATAAATAATCACATTATTTAACTTTATATATAAAAGAATAATAATAAACAATATGAATATTTAGCAGAATCCTCGCATCCTTCTATTTGGAATTTGATTCATCGGGCGTGCCCAACACATATCCAAGCCCATGTAACATAGAAGGAAAGCTTTTCATCCCTCCTTTATGTTCTCTGTTTCCCTAATGTACTTTTCCTCCCTACCATACAAGCTGTAAAAGAAGTCATTTTTAACCAGCATTTGAATATTTTATCAACAAAAGCTAGGACATAGGTGGGCAATGATGGGCTTGAGTGAGTGAATGCAACCATAGGCAACATGGAACAACGACGTGGAGGTAGGGAATGAATGCAAATATGTCATATTACTCCCCTTCTTCCTTCTCCAATTTTTATTGAAAAACTTCATTTCCAACATCCATTTATTTTGTGCTAGCACACAAAGAATAGACCTGACTATTTAATGTATATTCCATCAATTTAGGCAGGCAAAAAATATTTATTCATATTGTACATGCAGACTCAATAGAAGTCTTAGTTGGCATGCTCTCGTATAGGGATAGCAAAACACCCTGCCCATCCGTTTAAAACAATTCGAGGGACCATTTAAGCATTTTGGGCAGGGACAGGTTTTAGTAGTGAAAACCCATGCAGGTGCAGGGCGAGGAAGGAAGGAGGTCGCCCTGCCCCATTTATATTGTGAATTTATCATTTTAACCTTATAATTTATATTATATACAAAAATACCGTAAAATATATGTAGATTAACAAAACCCTAAAACATTTCATATGCCTCGTTTCCTTAACTAGTTCAGTCGCAAGAAACCCTCATTGAGCTATCAGTGGTTCTTGCCGTCTCCATCTGTCTTATTAGTGGTTATCATCGTCTACATATCTCCGATGAGTGCTTCTCATTGTGACCATCTAGCCACTTCTTGTCGTGACCCATCTAGGCATCTCCGATCAGTACCGCGAACGGCAAACTTTTCAGTGGCCTAGATGAAAATTACTCTCAACGGCATAGACAAAATCTGCTAGCTCCGTCTTGTACTCCGGTGAAGCCCTCTTCTTCTCCCACAATCAGCGAAGTTCTCACTCTAGTAAGAGACCACTTTTTTCTCTAGTTTTCTCTTGCCTTCTCTTCTCTAGATTTCTTAAAATTTCACTACAAATTTGTAGATCTACATGTTAAAACTCATCTTCACAACTTTTTGAAACATAACCTTAACTTAGAGTTGCCCTATATTTGTTTATCTTAGTGAATCCAACCAAAGGGTTGGCTCAAGTGGGTAAGTCACTTAGCCCTGGTGCCTCAGGAAGCATCAGGTCTAAGGTTCGAGACTGTTTGACTCCTCTTAGGTGCAAACAATTCCTTGAGGGGGAATGTGTGAGTATCAACTAAGGGAGAAAAAAAAAAAAAAAAAAAAAAATATTCTTATTGAATCCAACAAGAGTTTGTGCATAATTTTTTTAGATTTTATGCGCCTGAATTGTGTGAGTTTAGAACTTTTAATTATTTTTCAGCAGAGTAACAAATGGTTGGTGATAGTGTTGTTAAAGGCGCGCCTAGGCTCCAAAAAAGCCCCAAGCTCGTCAAGACTCAGCTAGAGCGCCTCAACCTACTACGGGCCAAGCCCCTTCAATCAGGCTTACATAAAGCCCTGAGACTCACACTTTTTAGTAGGCTCCAGGCTTAAAAAAGGGCGCGCCTTGTATTTTTAATCATTTATTCATATCATTTTCTTTTTTACTTGATGACTAGTAAATTAAAAGGTTCTATATCATATATCGTATTTTTTAACCTTATGAAATATTTGACAAAGTTCAAAAATTTATGTTTCACAATTTACATTAACTGCAATTACTGCTTGATTATGAATATATATAATAATATATGTTTAAATATGCATTATTATATACACACGCCTTCGATCAGGCTCACGCCTTGCGCCACCCCACCCCGTTGCTATCCCTCTCATAATCATTCCACATGCTCAGAATCTTGCACGCAAGACAAAATTGGAAATATCAACTAAGCAATATACAGTGACTAACCTGGAAGCCTATCAACAGAACAACTAGAAGAACGCTTTAATGTCCTTTCTACGTCGCAACCAGAAAGTGCCCGAATATGCCTGAAACAAGTGGACAAAGTGCAAATCAATTTTCCATATATATCCTGTATAAATGTCAGTCACAAGGATAGTTACATGCTATAACACTATGACCAGTAAATTAAAAAAGGTGAGAACTTCACAAACTTTGCAGATATTACAACGTGCACAAAAACTGCCTCTTCAGTGGCAGCAAAAATGAACTCAACCACAGGCTGACCCCTCCTACAAAAACACCAACTAGGATTTAGACAGAATCAGGCATGGGATACTACTACCAAACATCCAATAAAGGCCATAATTACCATCACAGGAATAACTTTTCTGTCAAAATTAAGAGGGAAAAACAAGGCTCGTTACTCAATTATACTAAACAATTAAGTAAATATAAAGCAATGAGCACCCACCATAATTTTATATCTTCAACAGATAAAGCCGCTCATCAATAAAAATCGAAATATGCAAAAAATGAACAGGATTTGACAATAGTACTGTATTAAAAACAATTAAAGGTTAAAAATAATCTCTAGAATTAGATAAAACATGAAAGCCACAATTTTTTAAGTTTATATGTGAAATGAACAATGAAATACTTCAAAATTGTAGTTCCCCGGGTTATGAATCTGGAGCACGAATGGGAAAAAGGTGAAGGAAATGAATTAAAACATGACCACTGGGAGTGAATTGATTAATTAATAACACAAAAGCTTAGAAAATGATCCACACAAACACTCCTTAGGATTTTGAAATCACACTAATTTTACTTTAAAGAAGAAACTCGAAAGTTGCAGCATACCATGGTGAAAGATAGACCTTGGGCTATCTTTGTCACTGAATCACCAAGACTGCAAGACAATGTGAACTTACATTAACTTTCCCATTTGAGAAGAAATAATGAGATAGTGGGTTTAATAGTCAAAATGGGTTTCCTGTGGCCATTGCTTCAAATTTCTTCTGAATCTTTATGGTCCAAAACATACTTTTTTTTATAAATAATAAATTCATTAAAAAAACGTTCAACCGGGGAACGCATCCCTAACAAAACACAAAAAACCTGGGTGCCCTAAGGCCCCAAGGTAGCCAAAAACTCAATAGTCTCCTTACTATGGTCCAAAACATACTTGCTTAAAGGTAGAAAGTTATGGATATTGAAGACTCCAAGTGAGTGTTCTTGGACATGGAAAAAATTGTTGAAACAAAGGTAAATCATAAGGAAGCACGTCAGATGCAACATAGGGAATGGAAGAAACATAGATCTTTAGAATCAGAAGCTATCTTTGAATCTAAAGGGGGCAGAGTAATACATGATTTTGGGCTTGGGAAATATGCCACTGTTGCTAATATCATAGTCAATGGTTCTCTCCAATGGCCCCTGGCAGAAAATTGATCTGAGGAGGGAAATTCAATCTATCCAGATTGCTTTTGGTTTGGTGGATTGTGTTTTTTGGAATCAAGGTAATAAGGGTTTTAATGTCAAAATGTCTTATGAAGCTATTACACCATCCAGTCCAACCATTTCTTGGTCTAAAATTGTATGGCATAAAGGAAATGTTCCTAAATTCTCCTTCATACTCGAGTTTTCAGTTAAAGGGATATTATACAACACAATGGATGGGATGAGGGCTATAGGATTTTATCAAATTTCTGCTTTTCTGTTTTGTCAGCAGCTGCCCGAAACCCATTCACACTTCTGAGTGTCCAACTTCTAGCAGTATTTGGCTGCGTCTCTTTGTTATGTGGTTTCCCCCTTTGGTTTTGTACTATACTTTTCCAATCAATATAATTATCTTACTTGGCAGAAAAACAAAAAACAAAACAAAACAAAAACAAACAAAAAAAACAACAACAACAACAAAAAAACAAAAAAGTAATCTGCAATAACCATGGACTCTCATTTTTGGTATGAAAGTGATGAAGGTTATTTTTCCCATTATTCTGCTTTTATTCTATGCATTCATAATCATAAGTGTTCTCCAAGCCTGTAGAGCCCACTTCTGTACCAAATGACTTTGCATTTAAGGACTGTTGTACAGTATTGTATAAGTTGTCACGTTGTACAGTATTGTATGAGTTGTCACACGTATACAGTTAGTATTGTATGAGTTGTCACCTACCCCTCATTACCATATATAGAATTATCATGTATAGGGTTTACTTGTTCTCCACTCACCTACTCCCGTAACTCCTCCTATATAAACCCCATTGTATTATTGTATTACTCACTCAATAACATATACGTTTTCTTATATTCTCTCTCTCTCTCTCTCTCTCTCTCTCTTTCAACATGGTATCAGAGCGGAAATCGATCCCTCTTTAAATTTTTTTTTAGTCTTATTCAGACTCTCCAATCTTGATTCCATCTCGGCTTTCTCTCAGCAATCTCTTCTCGGCAATCTCTCCTCGGTGATCTCAATTCTCGTCTCGTCAATCTCTCTCAAATCCCTCCTCGGCTCTCTCGATAATTTCTCTCAGGTTCATCTCGGCTAGATTTTGGTTCTCTTATCTCGGCTCCCACTTGCTACTATATCTCATTTGTTCGGCAGCTCTTGTGATGGATACTAAGGAACCCCATCTTCTTGGGTCAATCACCAGCACCAAACTGAAAGGTTCGAACTACCTTCAATGGTCTCGAGCCGTAGAGGTGTTCTTACAGGCTCGAGGAAAACTGTCCTATCTTGAATCAACCAAACCCACCAGTGATGAAAAGATTATTAAGGCTTTGGCAAAAGAAGATGCTCAGATTATGACTTTGTTATGGAATAGCTTCGAGCCTGAGATCTTCAACAACGTATCATTCCTAGAATCTGCCAAAGATATTTGGGAAAATCTCAGGGTCGTGTATTCTTCAGAGAAGAATATTTTTCGTATTTATCAATTGTATTAGGATATTTTTAATCTCCAGCAGGGAAGATCATTCTGTTGAAGATTATTACTTAGAACTGAAGGGCTTGTGGGAAGAATTGAATGTATACCAACCATTGACTACAGACATAGAACAACAAAAATAGCACAGGGAGGAGTTTCGGGTGGCAAAATTTTTATCTGGACTTAAACCCGAACTCGCTCCGATCAATTCGCAGATTTTGCCTGCCAAGGAGACACCCACAGCAAGTGAGACTTTTGCTCGAGTTCGAAGAGCATCTATTCATGACCTGTGATTAAGAAGGACAACCACACGGCTCTTGTTGTTCCTACTGAGCGACATGATACTTTCCCTAGAGGACGAGGGGGTAGAGGTCCTTCCAACCCAGACTATGGTACTCGTGGCGGCACAGGGGGTCGCGGCAGCAAGAAGTGTACTCATTGTGGCCGAAACAATCACTCTGTTGACTTCTGCTGGGCTCTTCATGGCAAGCCAGCTTGGGCTAATCAAGCTTCGGTTTCGGAGGAGACTACTCCCACTCCTGCGGATGATTAAGTCGTTCTTTCCAAAGCCGAATATGATTCTCTAGTAAAGCGTGAGCGTGCAAATCAGCTTACTATCGTTACTTAAGGTAATACGTATCTCCATGCTTTAGCTTCTACAACTTGGATCATTGATTCAGGGGTATCCGATCACATGACAGGTAACCCATCTCTTCTTTCTGGTATTTCTCATTTTTTCTCACCATCGGTTGTTACTATAGCGAATGGTGTCAAATCACCTGTTCATGGAATTGGTACCTTCTGCACTTCAGGTCTCACTTTTTCATCAGTTTTATATATCCCTCAATTTTCATTCAATTTATTGCCAGTTCGCAAAATCATATCAGATTTAAATTGCTTAATTATTTTTTCCCCTTCCCGTTGTCTTTCAGGATCTCAAGACGAAGAAGACGATTGGTGGGGGGTTTGAGAAGGATGGCCTTTACTACTTCCAGCCAACTACTACTCCGACAGCTATACATTCCACCTCCTCTTAGGCTTACCAATGGCATTGCCGCCTTGGACATCCCTCTTGAAATAGTCTTCGAGCCTTGGTCCTTCTTTAGTTGATTTTTCTAAGTTTAATTGTACTACTTGCGAACTTAGTAAACATCATCGGGCTACTTTTAAGTCTCGTTTTGATAATAAAAGTTTAAAACCTTTTGAGTTAGTACATTCAGATGTTTGGGGACCAGCTCATACTACTGGTTTATTTGGTGCTCGTTATTTTGTGTCATTTATTGATGATTATTCACGTTTAACTTTTATATTCCTTTTTTTTTATTTTTATATAAATTAACTTGGGTTTATATTCTTAAAGATAGATCTCAAGTATTCTCTGTTTTTCAATCCTTTTATGCTGAAATTCAAAATCAGTTTGATGCAAAATTACTTGTTCTTAGAACTGACAATGCCCTTGAATATAAACTTAAATGTTTTTCAAAAATTTCTTGAGTCGAGGGGCATTATCCATCAAACATCTTGTGTTGATACCCCACAACAAAATGGAGTTGTTGAATGGAAGAATGACCCACTCCTAGCTATCGCTTGTGCCTTAATAATTCAAATGCATGTTCCAAAACATTTTTGGGCAGATGCAGTTCTGGATGCTGCTTATCTTTTAAACCACATGCCTTCTAGGTCCTTCAAGGAAAATCACCCTTCCAAATGATGTTTTCTGACAAAAACTCTTTTTCCATTCCTCCAAAGGTGTTTGGGTGTGTCTGTTTAGTTCATAAAAAGTCCGGGACAAGACAAACTTGATCCTCGTGCTCACAAATGCATTTTCTTAGGTTATTCTCGCACTCAAAAGGGATATAAATGTTACAGTCCAACTCTTCGTAAACAATTTTTTTGTGCAAATGTAACTTTCTTTGAGGATGATCCTTATTATTCCCAGGAAGGCAGTCATCTGGAGGACTCTGTTCTTCAAGAGTCTGTTCTTCCAACTCCAATTTGTTATTCTGACATCCCACCAGCTCTTCGTGTCTATGCTCGTCGCCGAAAAGGAGTAGTTAATCATGTTCCAACAACTGAAGTAGTAAACCCAGTCTTGCCAGTTCCACCAGTCGCTTCACCGCCTGGAGATTCTTCCACCTCTGCCGACTCTGATCTTAATCAACCTATTGATGTTCGGAAAGGTAAACGGTCATGTAACAATCACCCTATCTCTACTTTTATATCGTATAACAAATCATCCTCCTCCTTTCAAGTTTGTCAGTATCTTCTATTGCTCTTCCTAAGTCCTACAGGGAGGCATTTTCTCATCCAGGGTGGAGGAAAACTATAGAAGAAGAAATAAATGCTTTAAAATTGAATCATACTTGGGACCTTGTTCCTAAGCCTGCTAATACTTAGGTTGTTGGTTGTCGTTGGGTTTTTACTATGAAACATAAGCCTGATGGTACTGTTGACCGTCTCAAAGCTCACCTTGTTGCTAAAGGCTACACTTAGACTTATGGCCTTGATTATACTAAGACATTCTCTCCTGTGGCCAAACTGAATTATGTTCGTGTGATAATCTCTCTTGCAGCTAATCTAAACTGGTCAATTCAACAACTTGATGTTAAAAATATCTTTCTACACGGTGACCTTACTGAGACAGTCTATATGACTCAACCACCTAGGTTTGAGTATAAGGGGGAGTGTGTGTGTCATCTCAAAAAGTCTATCTATGGCCTTAAAGAATCCCCTCGTGCATGGTTTGATAAGTTGAGTAAAGCAGTGGTAGCACATGGAATGACCAGAAGCCAGGCTGACCATTCTCTCTTTTTTAAGAAAACGAAACGTGGTATTGTGATTCTTGTGGTGTATGTAGATGACATCGTTATCACCGGCAGTGACAAAGATGGGATACAAGTTCTAATCCATTACTTGAGTTCTAGCTTCCTTACTAAGGATTTGGGTAAACTTCGGTATTTTCTAGGAATTGAGGTGGCTCGGTTAAAGCAAGGCATCAGTCTTTCTCAACGGAAATATACTCTTGATCTCTTACATTGGTTCGAAACCTGTAGCTACACCCATGGAGACTAATGTAAAACTTAAGGTGGATAATGGTGACCCACTCAATGATCCAAAGATGTATAAGAGACTTGTAGGTAAACTTATTTACCTCACAATCACTCGTCCAGACATCTCCTATGCAATCAGTGTTGTGAGCCAGTTCATGACCAATCCTCGGGTACCTCACATAGAAGCAGTTGTACGCATCTTGAAGTATCTTAAGGGTGCTCCGGGACATGGTCTGCTTTATCGATCTTTTAGACTTCTTCGGATTAATGGATACACAGATGCATATTGGGCGGTTCTCCTTCTGATCGATGGTCCACCACGGGTTACTACACCTTCATAGGAGGAAATCCAGAAACTTGGAGGAGTAAGAAACAGTAAGTTGTGGCTCGTTCCAGTACTGAAGCAGAGTACCGTGCCATGGCACACATTGCCTGTGAACTTACTTGGTTGAAAACTCTTTTACAGGAACTTGGGATTTCAGTCCAGTACCCAATTCCTCTCCATTGTGACAATTAGGCAGCTATTCATATTGCTAGCAATCTAGTCTACCATGAGAGGACTAAACACATTGAAGTAGATTGCCATTTCATTCGATCTAAAGTTGAATCAAATAAGATTGTTACGCCTTTTGTTCGTTCTGGTAGACAGCTAGCAGACATCTTTACTAAGGCACTTCCCAAGAACTCTACTGATTCCATATGTAGCAAACTGGGAGTTACTGACATTTACTCTCCAGCTTGAGGTGGAGTGTTGTACAGTATAGTATGAGTTGTCACACGTGTACAGTTAGTATTGTATGAGTTGTCACACGTATACAGTTAGTATTGTATGAGTTGTCACCTACCCCTCATTACCATATATAGAATTACCATGTATAGGGTTTACTTGTTCTCCACTCACATACTCTTGTAGCTTCTTCTATATAAACACCATTATATTACTCACTCAATAACTTATACGTTTTCATATATTCTCTTTCTCTCTCTCTCTTTCAACAAGGACTTTTTGTAAGATAACTACGAAGGATGGACACAATGGTACGAGACAGAATAATTTGAAATCCTTCAAGTCAAAAGGAACGGTAACAGTTAAAAAGTATAGCCAAGCCAACACGCCGAGGGTTCTTCATTATCAAAAAGATCACAAAAGGATCATACCACAAAGCTTTTATTCTGAAGATTCTTCATTATCAAAATTCCAGACATTCATATCTGACCAAATTAGCCAAGCCAACACAACACGCCAAGGATTTTAGTTCCCACACCTTGATTCAACAACCAAATCTCTAACAAAGAATTAATTTCTCGAGGTGCAAAAAACAAGATGCCAATAAAGGAAAGGTATTTAACAAAAAGCCAAGTCCTAATTAGTGTATGTATTCTAGAGACATCAATTCAACCTTGTAATCAGTGTGCAGTGGGGTTCCTGGGGTTTTATGCAAGTTGAACATTGAGAAGGCCTATGATCATGTCAGTTAGAGTTTCCTTCTTTATTTGGTGGAGCGGATGGACTTTGGATAGAAATGGAGGAGATGGATTGAGTTATGTATTTCAAATGTTAGATTCTCGATCCTCATGAACGGAGCTCCAATGGGTTTCTTTTGTAGCTCAAGGGGTTTGACACAGGGAGATCCCCTTTCCCCTCTCTCATTGTTATGGAGGTTCTTAGTCAGATGATGAAGAGGGCGGTGGATCTAGGTTTTTTGCGTGGCTTCTGGGTGGGGAGAGATGATCCTTCTCAGCTTGAGATCTCCCATTTGATGTTTGCCGATGACACGTTGATTTTTTGTAATGCTGATGTGTCTCATATGAGATTTTTGAGATGCGTTCTAATATGGTTTCAACTTGTTTCCGGGTTAATGGTGAATTTGGGAAGGAGTGTTTTGGTTCCAGTTAGGGAGGTTCTCAAGATTGAAACTCTTGCCAACAATTTGGGCTATTGCACTGGTTCATTTCCCATTTCTTATCTCGGCCTGCCTCTTGGGGTGCCATCAAGGAGAGTGGGAAATTAGGATCCCGTGGAGGAGAGGTTCAAGAGGAGGCTGGCAGGCTGGAAAAACAGTATCTTTCGAAGGGGGGAAGGGTTACTTTGATGAAGAGCACATTATCGAGTCTCCCTACTTATTTCCTCACCCTTTTTCAGATTCCTTCTATTGTGGTTAAGAGGATTGATAAGTTGCAGTGGAACTTTCTATGGGGAGGGAACGGGGAGGAGTTTAAATATCATTTGGTCTGGGAGCAGGTGTGTAGTCCGATTCGAAAGGGTGGATTGGGTATCAGAAGACTAGTGCCTTTCAATAAGGCTCTCTTGGAGAAAAGGCTATGGATATTTAGGGTGGAGAGACATTGTTTATGGAGAAGGGTGATAGCAAGTAGATTTGGGGAGGATTTTGACGGATGGTGTTCTCTTAAGGTGAGAATCTTAGTGGTGTTGGGGTTTAGAAATTCATTCGGAAGGGTTGGGATTGAGTTTCTGTCTTCCCTAGGGCCTTAGGGTACCCAAGTTTCTTGCTGTTTTGTAGGGACGCGTTCCCCTTTTGAACGCTTTTAATGAATTGCTTATTTATCAAAAAAAAAAAATTTCTAAACAAATCAGATTTCGAGTTAGGGATGGCAGCAGGATTCATTTTTTGGAGGATATTTGATGTGGTGAGCGTCCTCTTGCCTTGTTATTTCCCACTCTTCAAGATTGCCACGGACAAACATGCTTTGGTGTTTAACTGCTATCACCTTGATAGTGGGAGAACATCCTAGGATGTGCATTTTGTGAGGAACTTTCAAGATTCGGAGATTGAGGCTATCACCAGGGGATTGTGGACGGAGTTCCTGATTCTGTGGTGTGGATTCCATCTCCCCAGGGTCGCTTTGAGGTTTGATCTTTCTTTTGGTGTCTTACAGAGGCTCCAGGGGAAGTATTCCTGTGGAAGGCTTTTTGGCGTTCTAAGGCTCCTCTCAAAGTTGCCTTCTTTGCTTGGACATCAGTTTTGGGGAAGATCTCGGCCCAAGATAATCTTAAGAGGAGGAGATAGGTTGTGGTCAATTGTTGTTGCATGTGGTTGAGAAATGAGGAATCAGTTGATCATCTTCTTTTGCATTGCCCAGTTGTTTGGGACTGTTGGGCTTTGATGTTAACTTTGTTCGCCGTTCAATGGGTTATGCCCAATTCTTCCAAAGGTTTGGTCGAGGCTTGGACATGTTGTATGGTGAGGGCGCAAGCTCGTCACTTATGACTTGAAAGAAATAGGCAATTTTTTGAAGGAAAGGAGACCCCTATTGGTGCGCTAAAATTCTCCATTATTAGTACTTTTTTTTGTTCGGTTCTTGGGAGAAATTGTAATTCCATGGATGAGATTGTTGATTTTTTGGACTCTTTGAGAGTTTAATGGCCCTATTAGGTCTTGTTGTTTCCATGTGATGCGTTCTCCTTTTGAAAGTTTTTTAATACATATTTACTTATCAAAAAAATATATTTTATGTGAACCAAAAGGTATACTGCCTTGTAAAGTGGAAACTTTTGCTTTACATGTTATGCAGGATGACTTTCAGTCTTCCCCCCTATTGATTTGATCGAGCAGAGAGGTCAATTTTTTTTGTAATTGCAATTCTAATAACATCTCATACTCCCTGTCTTTCTAGGAGGTTTCACTAGCTTTCTAATCTTATCTTGCTTATTAAAAAAAAAAAAAACTTTTTAAAAAATTTCAAGTAAAGGACAAAGAAGTCAGCCTTAAATGGCAAATCGACATTATTATTCTCGGATTATGATCTAGAAAAGTGTCACTATTCACCTCCATATTTGAATCACGTAGGTTATGCATATGAATTTCAAACCTCGAAAGTTTTTCAAGACGACATGTATATTTATATCAATACAGATGTTGGCATGTTGCAAGCACGTAACATAGAAAAACAATATGAAAAGTAAAAAAAAAAAAAAAATCTTAACATTTAAAAACATCATCAACATTGCTACCACAACTCTTACTACAAACCATAAGATATTAACTGCAATAAACCTGAAAAGTTCTTCACTTTGTGAAAATGGATGGTATCTTGAAAACACGTCTCCAAATCTAACATAGGAAAGTCCTGTGAGTGCTCTGTCAATTCCAACAAAGTCTAGGTCAAGTTATGTTCACTAAAGTTAAGGGATAGTAAATTTACAAAAATTAGGGCAGCACAAAGTTAACCTTTCTATACGATTCCTTAAGGCCTGAGATAGAGCAGTTGCTATCTCTTCTGAATCCCCAGGAGCCAACCAGAGCCCAGATGCAAGAACTTCCAACACCAATTAAAAAAAAAAAAAAAAAAAAAACAAACATACAAACAAACAAACAAATAAAACCATTAGTTATATGCTTTAGATGATATTCATTAGGGAGGGGGGGTGGATAGCTCTGAATGTGGAAAAGGATTTTTCAAGAGACATAAAGATTTTCTAGTTGAGTTGAACAGTAAAACCTTGTAACTAAATAACATGAAGCTAATACGGGGATGGTGAGGAGAGAGATTTTTTATATCCCAGGGGGCTACAATTGGACTATTGGAAATACCACTGTTCTTGGAACAGAAGTTCCTATAAAAATGGAACATGTCCTACCTTTGAGTGCAGTTTGACCAATTGATTTACATAACTGGATAAAATAAAAAATTTATAAAATTAAATAAAAAATTTATTTTAAAAAAAAAAAAAAATTACGCTTATGACAAAACCCACTAATCGAATTTGAGTGGCTATCTACAAGATAGATCTCAGCATAAAACTAGAGAGTAACAGCAGCAAGTGATTTGAGTTCAGTAGTTCCTAGTATAAAATTATCAACTCCAGAGATTCAGTAATATGGGGAAGACAAATTTGTTTCAATCCGAAAGCAGCCCCTTGTTTCCAAGAGTGGACAGATGACATGAAATAATTCTGAGCTGGGTTCCACATTGATCATGCTTGAGGCTTGGAGATGTTGTATAGTAAGTAGTCAAGTCCTAGAGGTTTAGAAAGTAGTTTCCATTTGCTTGTGGTGGGGTCTGTTGCAGGAGCAATATAGAAGGTCCTTTGATGAAGGAAGAGCCTCTATTTGTGTGTTAAAACATGCTAATTTTAAGTTCTCTATCTTGTTGGGTCAAGGAGTGGCATTGTAGATCTTTGGAGAACTTTGTAGATATTTGGATAGTTTGAGAGTTTAGGACAACCGTTGTAGGCCTTTTGTGCAGTTGTTCTTTTGGGCGCGCTCTTTTTAATGAAAGGAGATCCAGTAAAATTGAATACCTTCAACCCCTATGCAGAGATGACAGGATTGGAACAGTAAAACTAGTTCATTGTAAACCAGAAAAATTAACAGCAATCCAGAATTCAACTAGAGGACAAATTAAATATACTTCGTAATTTAGAAACTGCATGCTGAGCGCCCTCAGTAACAGTAGAATGACGCCCAGGGAGAAAAAGCCAGAGCTTGATCTTCTCATCTGCACAGGCAGATAGTAGTTAGATAACTAATTATGGTAGAATGTGTAATTAACTACTGCATACAATCTTTACCAGGGTTGTGTAAGCCCTGAGATGGGTCCCAGGGTCCAACAAAAGAATTGGTCCATGTGCTGAGAAATCCTCCCTTCTGCAACTGCAGATGGGATGAAAGCACCAGCAATGTAGCAGCATCTTTCTGCTCCACTTTCACACTGCCCAAATATCAACAAAAACATAATTTCATTATTGATTCAAAACATGTAACAGAAATACTTTCTGCTAATAAGAATTAAGGTATCAAATTATCCAAAAATACCTTTTATCAGGCATGGGATTCAGATCAGATTCATGAGGGAGGAACTGAAACCATGATATCTGATGAAGCCCTCCCTGCAGGAATGGTAGATGATGCAAAAGTGAGAGAATGATGTATACATTATAGATATTAAAAAAAAATGTATGTCCCAGTGGGTAAATCAACAATATGTCGCAACATTCATTAAGGAATACAAAATTAGACCACAAAAACAAAATTAACCAATGCAATGAGAATTTCAACACTCAAACAACCAAATTTGTCAACCATGTAAAACAATCACCGATAAAAAAACTGTTTTACCAACTTCTAACCAAACTTCAGCAACCTGAATATTGGCAAGCTAATTTGTAAATATGTACTTTAATCATGGTTTGATATATCAGCTGAGACGGGTTAACTCAGCCGAAATTGTCCCCCTTACTGCTCAATATATCGTTGGAATGAAAATCATAAGGGACTTGGTATGGGATTGGGCTGACTCGAGAGAATTGGCTGAGTTGGCTTTTTTAAACTAACAAACTCAATTTTGCCTATTTTTCTCATTCTCTCTCCCTTAACAGCCTATTTCATCTCTAAACTTATCCTAAACCCTAAATCTATATGAATTAAACCTCATAAAACATAATATCTTGGCTTAGATCTTTTCTTCTTCTTCTTCTTTTTTTTTTTTTTTTTTTTTTTTGATAATTAAGCAAATTCATTCAAAAAAACATTCAAAAGGGGAACGTGTCCCAAAAACAACAATGGGATCCTATGGTCCCAGAGAAGAAATAAAATCAATCATCTCCTCCGGGGAGGAACAAAGCCTACCCGAACGCCAAAAACATAAAGATGTAAAAAAAGCTGACTTAAGAACAGCAATTGAGGATTCTTTTCCTTCAAAGGATCTATTATTCCGCTCCCTTCACAAACACCACCATAAACACAAGGGCACCATCCTCCAAAACCCACGAGCATGGCCTCCCACATAGCACCCTCTCCAAGCCTCCATCAATCCTCTCGTAGATCGAGGCATAACCCACGAAACCCCAAACAGTCCTAGCAAAAGACACCAACAATCCAAAGCCACTGGACAATGCATAAGAAGATGATCCACCGATTCCCCATTGCACTTACACATACAACACCAGTTAACTGTGATTTGTCTTCACCTTATCAAATTATTATGCGTCAAGATCTTGCCCCACACCACTATCCAAGTAAAGAACGCCACTTTGAGTGGCACCTTAGATCTCCACACTGTTTTCCACGGAAACGTAATCCCTGTAGTATCTAAGAAGCATCGGAAAAATGATCTCACTTCAAACATCCCCAAGAAACAGGCACCCAAACAAGCGAATCTCTATCTCCGCCATGAATCTCATGCCGATATAAACAATCTAACAACCCGCAAATGTCGTCCAACTCCCAATCCTGAAATGCTCGCACAAACTGCACATCCCAAGTCAACCTCCCGCTATCAAGCCGATAGCAATCAGCAACCGAGGCATATCTATCAGCAACAATCCTAAACAATCTGGGAAATGAACAAGCAAGGGTACAATCACCACACCAAAGGTCCTCCCAAAACCTCACGTCCCTACCATCCTGAACTCTGAATCTGATGTGTTTGGAAAACTCATTCCATCCTTTCCTAATGGATTTCCAAACTCCAACACCAGCAGGAATCCTTACCAAACACGAGCCCCCCCCCCCCCCCCCCCCTTCTCTTCTCACTGAATCTGATGTGTTTGGAAAACTCATTCCATCCTTTCCTAATGGATTTCCAAACTCCAACACCAGCAGGAATCCTTACCAAACACGAGCCCCCCCCCCCCCCCCCCCCCCCCCCCTCTCACGTTTCTTCCCCAAACCGGCACAAAATAACCCTCCTCCACAATCTCTGACATTCCACTCCAAATCTCCACAACCACTTACCAAGGAGAGCCCTGTTAAATGGCACCAACCTCCTTATCCCTAGACCTCCGGCCTGAATCGGCCTACAAACTTGCTCCCAACGAACAAGATAATACTTAAATTCTCCTTGTAATCTACCCCATAGAAAATTCCTCTGAAGCCTCTCAATTGAACTAGCAACCACATATGGAATCTGGAATAGAGATAAAAAATAAGTAGGGAGACTTGATAGCGTGCTTTTCAAAAGAGTGACCTTCCCACCTTTCGATAAGTACTGCTTCTTCCATCCTACAAGTCTCCTTTGAACCCTCTCAACCACCGAATCCCAAACACCCACAGTCCTCGAAGAAACTCCCAAAGGTAACCCCAAGTATGTAATCGGAAAGCTACTAATTCCACATCCAAGCACAGAGGCTAACTCACCAATATTCTGCACTTCCGCCACTGGAATCAAGGCACTCTTCCCTACATTCACTTTCAAGCCTGAAACCGCCTAAAAACAAATCAGCCCTGATCTTAGGTACCTCATCTAGGACACCTCAGCCTCACAAAATACCAATGTGTCATCCGCAAACAATAAATGAGATATATCCATATGATGAGCATCACCCCTACCCACCATGAGCCCCTTAATAAAACCCAACTCCACCGCCCTCCCCATCAACCTACTAAGAGCCTCCATAACAATAATGAACAAGAAAGGAGACAAAGGATCCCCCTGGCGCAAACCTCGCGAGCTACCAAAAAAACCAATCAAAGACCCATTAACCATCACCGAAAATCTGGCTGAAGATATGCAGGCCTCAATCCAACTCCTCCACTTATCCCCAAAACCCATTCTCTCCATCAAGCACAGCAAGAACTTCCAACTCACATGATCATAAGCTTTCTCAACATCAAGTTTACAAAGACCCCTGGGACACCACTCCTCAACCTCGCGTCCACACATTCACTAGCGATAAGAGCTGAGTCAAGAATCTGACGCCCACCTATAAAGGCGTTCTAAGACTCCAAAATGATATCATCCAGAACACCCCTCAACCTTAGTGTTAGAACTTTAGCTATTATTATTTTTTTTTTTTTTTGATAATTAAATATTGTATTGAAAGCGTTCAAAAGGGGAACATGTCCCTCAAAAGCTATACAAGGTCAAATAGGGCCCTTAGACCCTCAAAGAGTCCCAAAAAATCAACAAGTTCCTCCTCTCCCTAGAACCTAACAAAACCCAATAGGATTCACCTTTCCTTCAAAGGATCTCCCATTTCTTTCAAGCCAAAGACACCACCAGACGCACAAAAGCGTAACCCTCCAGAAGTAGCGAACTTGGGCCCCACTATACAACCTCTCCAAGCCTCAACCAAGCCTCTTGAAGACTTGGGATAACCCACTGAACCCCAAACAAACCCAACAACAAAGTCCAGCAATCCCGAGCCACTTAACAATGCATAAGGAAATGATCAACCGTTTCCTCCTCATTCTTGCATATGCAACACCAATTGACCACAATCTGTCTCCTCCTTCTAAGTTTATCTTGTGTCAAGATCTTCCCCAAAATGGACGTCCAAGCAAAAAAAAGCCACTTTGAGAGGAGCCTTCGATTGCCAAATAGCCCTCCAAGGGAAGGGCGACCCTAGGGCATCCAAAAGACACCTATAATAAGATCTTACATCGAAGCGACCTTGGGAGGATGGAGCCCACACCCAAAGGTTAGAAATGTCTCCCTTAATCTCCCGACTATACAGCAACTCCAAAAAGCCAATAGCATCCTCAATTTCCCAATCCTAAAAGTGTCTAGAAAAGCGTACATCCCAGACCGTATTTACACTTTCGAGGCAATAGCAGTCAACCACCAAGGCATGTCTATCTATAGCAATGCGGAAAAGTCTAGGAAACGTGAGAGCAAGAGAATGGTCACCACAACAGACATCCTCCCAAAATTAGATTCTCCTACCATCTCTAACTCGAAATCTAATATGTTTGGAGAATTCATCCCACCCCTTCCGAATGAATTTCCAAGCCCAGGCCCCCAACTCCGCAAGGTAATCTCACCTCCGACGAGCACCAACCTCCTCTAGCCTCCCCAAAGCCAATGCCTCTCCACCCCAAATATCCAAAGCCACTTACCCAAAAGAGCCTCATTAAAAGGCCCCATTCTTCTGATTCCAAAACCCCATTTCGAATCTTGGCTTAGATCTTGGATCAAACAACTCCAAGCTTTCAACTAATTGGTAAGTTCTCAACATATTTTAAACCTAGATCTAAAATGAAAGTGTAGCCTGATATTAAATCCATGAACTTTGAGTGGCAGTACCAGGTATTCACTATTTTCAAGCATTCACCATTTTCAAGTACTAAAAGCTTTCTGATTTCTTTTTTTTTTTTTCTTTTACTTATTCTTTTTTTTTTTTTTTTGGTAAGTAAAAATGTATTAGAAAGTGTTCAAAAGTGGAATGCATCCCCAAAACTACATAGCGGCCGAAGCCAAAAAAAAGGCGTAAGAGCTCAAAGAACCCAAAAAATCAACTATCTCCATTCTGCTCTAAAGATTTACAATTTCTCCCCATAACCCAACAAAGAGAGACCTAACAATAAGAAACTTTAAGGCCCCAACAAAAGATTCATCTCCATCAAACAATCTTTTATTCCGCTCCTTCCAAATGCACCACCAAACACAAAAGGGTGCCAACCTCCAAAAATCGTGGGCATGGGGTCGTAATGGGCAAAGAATTGATGGTAGTGTGAAGAAGGATGCTCTTCTGGCAGACTATCTGCAAGGACAGGGAGTGGGATACCACGGGATCCCAGCTTTGTCAGGCAGTGCAGGGCTAGAAGTTAGTCTCTGCAGATAATCTTTTTGATACTCCCAATGTAGTCTCTTTGACCAAGGATAGGCAGGTCTTCCTGAGAAAGTTGCATTCAAAACGGACTGCCTCCTCGGTTCGTAGAGAGGAATTATAAGATCCAAAGGGCCATCTACATCGCCATCTTTGCTTAATGGCCTCATAGAATATAATCCTAGAAATTGATAATCTAGTTAAGTGGGGAAATTTCTGATTTAACTGGAACTTGCATGTGCAGCAGAACTGAAGAGATGATCAATTGTCTATGTCGCAATGGATTCACTGACTCTAGTTTTTGCACTGTTAGGGATCTCGTGGGTCTAGATTAAGTTAGGAACCCCTTGCTTGTTGGTCCACAAGAGTTTCCACAATATGGAATAGGGTTCCTCCTGGACTATTTTGCTGCACCTGGTGGTAAGAAGAAAGGAACTCGTTTGAAGAGGAGTTTTGGGTTCCAAATTTGAAGCAATGGGAGGAATCCTAAGCATTTTTGTTTTCTTGCAAGAGATAAAATTTACTACAGATGACTATGTTTTTAGCTGCTGCTTCTTTTTTTTTATATGCAAAGCATATGCAGTCTCGTATATTTTGCGTGTACTTGGTCACACCCGATCTGACATTGTTTTAATATCTACATGTTGATTAAAACAAAAACAGTACTAGTAATTTGTATAATATTCACGGTGCCTTTAAGAATTTCAGCCATCAACAGACCTCTTTTTTACAAGTACATTATCATTAGCGCTAAAAGGGGAGTGCATCCCATATACAACTGCACGTCATCGTTAAATAACCCTCGCATTCAAAGCAACATTAGAGTTTTAGAAATGGTTTTCTAGGTTTATAAATCAATGTGAAGGTAGCCTCTCAAGGACGCCATCAGGCTCTTCTGCTGAATCTCTCATTGAGATGTACATTTTTTTCATGTAACCATTGTTAATCAGAAAGTGTTATTCATACTCACTTGAAATATTGGTTGCATCAACTTATGAAGCTCGAGGATTGTATGAAATTCCTGAATTCACATTTCCAGCTATAATATCCCTCACCATGCAGTGGAGAGGAATTATTGTCTAAGGCTCCAAACATAAGCCAAACATCTCAATAATAACCAGATAAAGTGACCACAAACAAAACTAGAACAACTTAAAAGTAAATCATTTCATAACAGTACTTGGAAATTCAACAAGTAAGCATATGAAAAACCACAAGTAATAAGAAGCAATAAGTTCAAAATTGATGCTTCAGAAAAACAAAAAAGAAATCTACATAATTTGGGCAAAGGGCAGATACATACAATTTTGAAAACATTCGTCCACATTACTAATAACTCTGAAGCCCCGGCTGCAATAAAAGCTTGTCAACCTACAAACCTTTTGCTGGGGAACTTACATCGAAAGCCTTGGAACATATCTCCACACCACATAACGTGTTTGCATAACAAACCAACTGAAAAAGAAAAGGGTTTCAAAAAAATAATTAAATAAAAATGTATATAAAAAATAGAAATTATTTGTACTTGTTGTAGGTGACTTTTGGTGTGATTAATTTTGTCTCTTAAAATCCCAAATTGAATAGGAGTTAACAATTATTATTATTATTTTTGACCAAGGTGTTAATAATCAAACTAGTAAAATATGTATATAAAAAATAAAAGTTGCTTACACTTTTAGTAGATAGTATAGATTTTACTTGCCAAAAAAAAAAAAGGTGTGCTGATATCCAAATAGAAAATAAACACTCTGGATCAGAGATAATTTACAACAAATACTAAAAGGATAAAAGATATAGAGAACAGTGACAAAAACTTACCAGGATCAGTCCCAATTGTGAACCAAGATTCGATGGAAAATATGTAAGCTGCAACAGGAAGTAATCTCATTATCCTGTACAATTATTCAAAGTTTGCAGAAACAAAATTTATGCATTTCTTAAATGTTACACAAACTCATGCAACTAACACTTATACCAATAGTCATCGACTCAGAGACGAAACCAAATTTCCTTTGCCTGGAGTGCCATAACAGATGTATTAACGACGACCACCCCCACTTTTTCTCTCTCTCTCAGCGACAGACAGATTTATACCGCTCTTGTTCCAAACCCACGTAACGATTTCTCCCACACTAAAAGGGTCTCTCTTATTTTTCAATTTTGATTAATATTTCGAGTTCTGAAATGGGTCTCTCTTATTTTTCAATTTTGATTAATTGTTCAAAGTTCACTGAGGAGGTTCAACCACCGCAGCCCAATAGGATACAAGTGTATCATCGATTTTATTCAACTAAAACATAAATATGTACTTACATCTAGACTCGAACGATCACAAAAGTAAACTGAAAGTCCTATCCATGTAAATCTATACCCAGTATACAAAGAGAAAAGAGGGACAGATGTCGTAGAGAGAGAAAGAGATACTGTTGAGAGAGAGACGCACCTGTCGGCTAGCACAGATCGGCCGGTGATGGTGAGGCTGAAGAAGGACGCAACGGTGGCCGGCGACGATGATGAGGGGTAGAGGCGCAGGTACTGGCTTTGAAGTGTCGATAGAGTGAGACGGTTGAAGTGAATTACTCGATTAGGGCATTTTATAGTAAGGGTAAAAATGGTATTTTAATTTACAATCCGGTGGTAGGAGGTTGTCGGAGTTCATCGGCTTATATTAAATTATATTTATATTGTTTTAAGGTGTTTCAAATTATTAATTTATAAATAAAATATCAATTAAAATAAAATATCAATAATGATAGGCAACCCGAAAAAGAAAAAGGCCGAAACTTCCAAATCTGATTCGGCTAATTCCGTTAGAATTAAAAAAAAGAAAGAGTATCTTTGATATGGTATAAATGAAAATGGGAAAAAGGAAAGAAAAAAATGTTAAAAAAAAATATATATATATATATATGGTACTTTCTCACAAAAACTCTCCATGGAGGGAGCAAAAGAAAATAATCATAAACCTGATATTACTTGTTCCCTATTCCATAAATTTAAATTTACAAAGTAAAAATTAATAAAAGTATACAAATACAGTATTATTTATACTCTGTATAAATTAAATATTTATTATTTTAAAATTTATATAACCAAATATTTATTGTTTTGTTTTAAAATTTATATTAATGAATTTTTAATCTATAATTTATTCATCTTATTAAAGTTTTACAAAATGTATTTGAAAGTAGGGGTCGAGTGTAATTTTATAAGAGATGACGTTTGAGGAGAAGTATTGTATATATCCAAATTTAGAGAGTTTTTAGTTTTATGTTTTTGAGGGAAAGAGAAAGCACCATTTTTTTTTTTTTGTGGCTCGGCTAAATGGGGAGTTTTCGTATTTTCTCTTTCGCGTTGCCTATTATTACTTTTAAAATAAAGCCACTCGTCAGGTTTATCTTTGTTATTGGTTAACTTTGTCCAACACCTTCTTCGTTAGTTGTTCTTTAGAAAAGTCAAAAAGTCAATTAATTACAAAAATATAATGCCAAAACTACCTTTCCCTGATTTAAGTCATTTTAATTTGGACACAAATATTAACCTAAATTAACTTAAATATATCATTTTAATTTGGGCAAAGTACCAAAAACCCCCTAAACTCGTAGCCTTTTTGAATAAACCCCTTATCTATTTTTTTTACTAGAGAACCCCTCTCGACTTGTAACCTTTTTATAATAAATCTCCTTTGTCTAATTTTTTACCAAAGAACCCCTCAACTATCTTAATTCTTCCGAATTTCAAAAATTCATATCTCACAAACTGTACATTTAAAAATTATAAATGATATATGCAAAGAAAGCTTATAAAATAAGGATTCCAAAAATATAAGATTTGTACAACAAACCTTCATAATCGGAGAGAAATGGACAATCTAAAAATTTACTCCAACAATCTTATTTTATTTTTAAAAAATACTATAGATATTTGCAAGACAATTTTTCAGAATTATTCATTTACATATAGAGCCAAATATATATATATATATATATATATATATATATATATATAATAAAAAATAAAAATAAAAAAAAATTAGCCCTAACAGAGATCGATTTTATCAAATATCATACTTTGCATCAAAATATTTTCATTCTTTTATAGACTCGCAAATTTTTTTTTTTTTTAAAAAAAAGAAAGTAAAAATGAATATTAGGTCTCTATTGGGGCTAATTTTTTTATATACTATGTTCCATATTAAAATGAATAATTCTTAAATTTTTCTTACAAATAACCCAAATATTTCATAAAAAATAAAATAAAATAAGATTGTTGCAGTAAATTTTTTATAAGCGCTGAAAAGTGCGCATTTAAACCCCTTAAACTTGAGTGTTCTAGGATCTTATTCTATCTTATTTTCCCACTTTATTTCATGTGTATGTCCCTTTTCAGGCACTTATCCCCAAAATAAGTCAATTCAGCTGAATTAGAGCATAAAAGAAGCAATCTCAAGCTTAATGAAAAAAAGGAGCAAAGTGGAAGCAAAGTAGTGAAAAGAAGACCTCTTCGATCGATCGAACCAATCCCCAATCGATCACACTGTGATTGTTCCAACCATGCCATGATGGATTAAGCCCTTTGTCCTTATCTACAGGAAAAATTCCCTTTCGATCGATCCAACCTCTCCTTCGATCGATCGAACGTTTTTGATTTTATCCTCACCTACCACTTTTGTCCTTTCCCAAAAAATATCACAAAAATATCTCAATTTGTCATTATTTAAAAAGGCATCGCCATAGTTCGATCGATCCAAACACCCTTGTAATTGATCGAACTGCCTCAAGTGCGTGAAAAACATAATTCCAGTCAACTTGAAGGTGTGCTCATGGTGCAATCATTTTAAGGTCCTAGTGCACAAGATTTGACCATTCGGTGTGACATTTGAGCTACCTATATAAAGATTTTGGCTATTTTTTTTAGTAAAGATACAATATACAACATTGAGGAGGCTAGAGATTAGAGGGAGAAATACATATTTTGGGAAAGTTCTTCCACTCATCTAGGGTTTCTATCAAGAAGAGGAAGATGATTTCTACCATGGAGATAGCCCTTGAGGGTTAGATAACAACATCAATAAGTGGCTAAACCATTCTTTTGGGGCTAGAGATAGCCCTAAGCATGCCTCCTAGACTTTGATGTTTTGTAATTAAAGAAGATTTGTGTTGTAATTATTGTCTTGACATCTTGTTTATATAAATCTTGTTTCTACAATGATTTATGTAGTTTAATACTTCCAATTGATCATTTAATTCTATCCATATATCTATGTATACTAGGATGAATGTTCATGTGTTTATTTCTAGATTTTGTGACATTGATGCATGTCTATGTGTGTTGATATTATGAATCTAGTGATGGTCAAGCCATGGTGCTTAAATAGATTACTCTTGTGGTTTGTTTGATAGTTCATGCTTATTTCTTAATGGATTGTGCCACCTCCTTAGTTTAATTTTCATGTTACTAGCTCAGTTGTAGTGTAATTGCCTTACTTTCTTAGATCGATGGACAATCCATGCTTGTTGTTTGATGTTCCATGCTTATGAATACAAGTAGTATATTTCTCTAATTTAATGAGTGTGCATTAATTGTGGACTTAAATGAATGAATAATTGCTTAATTTGATATGTTGTGTTATTCACTAGTTTGGCTAGACAATGTATGCTTACTTGGCCATCTATGATTGATAATTCAATTAATGGTACACACTTTCATTACAACATATAATCCCCCTAATCTATCAAATATTATATATTTAGAAAGGTGATGCTTAGTGGTGAACTCTATATCCCAAGACCCCTCTCTCATATTCTCTACACCTCATATTTACTTTAGTTGTTTATATTGCAATTGTTTAGTTTAAATTATAGTATAATTCAACCACCAACCATCTTTTGATCATTCGACCTACTAATCCAATATTGATTTCTAAGCAAAAATACACTTCATATCCCTTGGGACGATCCCTACTTACTCTAGCTACATTAATAGTTAGTAGTCGCAATGGCATTCTCTAAATTTAAAACTTGGCCACACTACACACTTTTCGTAAATTTGGTGCACCCGTGACACCACACCAAGTTTTTGGTGCCGTTGCAGGGGATTTTTGCACCGTCTTATTTTGGAAATCAATTAGGAATTAGTACTGTAATGACTCGGTCTTTTTCCTTCCTTTCTTTTTTTTCTCAAATTTTCACGGATATTTTTTTTTTTTCCGTTGATCTTTTCCTTTCTGAGTTCAGTTTCTCATCACTTAGTGTCGTCTTGAGTGCTCGGAAATGGTTTCTGAGACTCTTTTCGTTGAATTGACAATTTCCTTTGAGGACCGAGTCATTTTCATATTTTTCACTTTTTGGACACTATTCACTTGTCGTCTTTTTCCCTATTTCGTCATTTTCCCTATTTTGTCTTTTTTCCTGTTTGTCACTTTGTTGGCATAACCTCAATCCTTGTGTTCGGAGTTGGTTTTTGACTTCACATATCTTCATTCTAAGTAGTTTCCACGAAATACGTATCTTTACTTTTGTAAGGAAGTACTCTGGTTGCTCCTAGTGTCCATAAGGGCATGGATGCATAGTTTTTCAAAATCTTTTTCTTTTCTTGGGGTGTTTTCCATAAATATTTTTTGAAGATATTTTATTTCAGGGGTTTTTAAGAAAATATTTTTGGAAGATATTTTCATTCTGAGCCATTAGTGCAGTTTTCACTTTTTGGAAGGGCCATTGTGCAATTAACGAAAGTTATTGCAAAAATACCTCGTCTGGGGCTTGGATCCTCGTATGGGATTCATTTTCACATTTTGTCAAGTCGTGCACTCTTAGAATTTCCTTCTGGTCATTTTTCTCTAGTTTTAGAGTTTTTGAACCCGGTTTGCGCCAAACTTGTTCGGGGCATATATCTCTGCTCGAGACTCAGTTTTTGACATCGTTTTTTTCGTTGTTCATGTTTTCTCATTTTGAATCTTTTTCGTTCACGGAGTTTTGCCGTTTGAGCGCGTTTGCTCAAATTCCACTTTTTCAGACCCGGCGGGGCCCTTTCGGGGCACTTTTTGAGATTTTCTATAAATAGGGAACTTAAAGAAGAAAAACTCAGATTTTTCTCTTCTTCTTCCTCTCTTGGCCGGCAGCCATGGATGCCCATGGAGCTGCCACTTTCTCTTTCCTCCTTTGATCCACTTTTCCTAAGTGAAAAGTCTTCGGCCTTAATATTTATTGTTTCCCTCGTCGTGCTCTATCTTTCACCCTTATTATAAATCATTTCTGACCATTTTTCGATTAGGTTTGAAGTCAAGTAGTGATTTTCATGGGGCTTCTTAGGGATTCTTGTTCATCGTGTTGTCCCCGACAAAACCCCGCGATATCGTTGGATTCGGAGCACTTTTCTTTTGGTGGGGAATTGAGATTTTCATCTCAAATTGAGGTAGGAGATGTTTTATGATTATGTATGTGTTGTATTGAGTATTTCCCATGATTATACAACTTGGTTGCATGCCTGATATCAAATCTAGAAAGTTTTTTTCGATAAGTAAAAATTATTGTTTATGCAAATCTAGAAAGTTAGTAATATTTAGTTCTTTGTATGA